ATACTATCTGGAAACCCATAGGAGATGAGTTTTGTTTATACAAGGGGTCCGAAAAGTGTCTCCCCGACATCAATTTTGTTATTTTAAATGGAACACCCTGTATATATCGAAATTTTTGGAGTCATCGTTTAAAATAAAAGTCACTTTCTTAAAAAATTGCTATTCGAATTTTGCATAGTTTAGGCAGAAATTGAGGTTATGTGTTTTTTTTTTGCATATTTTGATGGCCTCATATAAAATTGTGTTGTTACGCTACCGATCTAGGTATGGCAACGAAAATTTAACCATAGACTAAGGAGATGATGGGCTACGCAATAAGTTTGACAGGGGCGCCTGTCAAACTTATTGCGGGTGTCCCAATTAGCTGGTGCCGTTTTGTCGAATTTAATTAACAATATCTCAAAATTTTCAAATGGAATACCCCATATTTTTATTCGGATATCAATTCTAGGACAAAAAACAAGCTAAGTTTGTAATTTATCTTATATTTAATTTATTAAATTTTACTTACTTATTGAGATATTCGAAGTTTAACATAACCCCCGTATAAATTCTTGTTCAATTTAAAGCTGCCCACATTAGGTCACATGTTCGTAATATTAGGCATTTTTTAAATAGCAAAGACACGATATTACTTCTTTTAAAGACATAATACTCCAGATAAACGAATAAATTAATTAAATAATTAAATTATTAAAATTAATTATTAAAAAAATAAATTAAAAAAATTAATTATGTTAATTAATTAAAACTCCAGAACTCATATTTAAAGATACATTAATTTAATTAATTAATTAATTAATTAATTAGCTATCTAGCTTGATTGAATATACCTAATAACAAAAATAAATAATTAAAGTTTATTATTATTTTTGTTATTTATTATTATTATTATTATTATTATTATTATTATTATTATTATTATTATTATTATTAAATTTTAAAATATTTTGATATTTCTCTATTGTTTTTATGGCAGATGAAACGAGCATTTTAAGAGGGACGTTTTTATCTCAACTTTATGGACCTAATTAAGAAACGATTTTTAGTTAACTTTTTTTAATCGATTTATTTGTTCAAATTTGTTACCTTGGTTTGTTAGCATATAAATTTTAATTGTTTATTTTTGTTATTTGGTATTTTGAATAAACCTAAATATTTAAGCGTTAAATGTTTCTTTAAATATGAATTCTGATTTTTTTAATTAAATCTGCTTTGTTAGCAATAGGTTTTATTCGTATATCTGGAGTATTATGTCTTTAAAAGTAGGATAATGTCTTTGCTATTTAAAAAATTCCTAATATTGCCAACAAGTGACCTAATGTGGGCAGCTTTAAATTCAACAAGAATTTATACGGATGTTATCTTAAACCTCGAATATCTCAAAAAGTAAGTAAAATTTAAATATAAGATAAATTACAAACTTACCTTATTTTTTCTCCTAGAATTAATATCTGAATAAAAATATAGGGTGATCCATTTGAAAATCTTGAGATTTTTTCAATTGAATTTGCCAAATCGGCACCACTTATTTGGGACACCCTGTATAAATTGAGGCGCCCCTGTCAAACTTATGGAGTAGCGCATCATCTCCTTAGTCCGTGGTTAAATTTTCGTTTGACTACCTCTATCAGTAGCGCCACAACACAAATGTGGCCATCGAAATATTAAAAAAAAATACACATAACCTCAATTTTTGCGTAAACTATGCAAAATTCGAATAGGAATTTCTTAAGAAAGTGTCCTTAATTTTAACCAAGGATTCCAAAAATGTCAATATATACAGGGCGATCCAATTAAAATAATTAAGTTGATGTCTAAGAGGCACTTTTGGGACACTCTGTATCAACACAATTATAATATTTTAAATCTTCAGGAGAGTCCAAGAAAGTTTTGTACGAAACTTTGTCGTTTTATTTGACACACGGTTGCCCAGTCTCACTTTATGGTTATTCTGCGTTAACAAACGCAACGCCATGTTGCTTGTCCGAGGGAAAGAACAGCCTAAATGACGTAGAGATGAGTGTTACATCATGCATAACTACTTTCATGTTACGCAATAACTACGTGGATTAAACGATGGTGGACGATGTGAAAGCGCTTCTGCGTGAAACATACGTTTTCAAAACCCGAAAGAGACGTTACTGCACGAACGCTATTGTCTCAAATTCACAACGACCTATTATTTAAACAATTTCTCACTGTACAGGGTGAGTCGACAATAAAGTTCATTAAATCATTGGTTTCGAAAGTTACTAGAAAATGATAAATACCAAACTCGTATACTTCGTCTTGAATTAGTTTTGAAATTCAACTCTGTTTTATTACCGAATCGCTTTATATTTTAATTTTTCCAGAAAACTACTAGTTTTCACACTCATATTCGACGATAGCGTTACTCGAAATTGACGTAAAAGTTATGTGACTCGGAATTTGAATTATATTAAATTGAAAAATTACGATTTTCTTAAATAGCACACCATATATACAGTGTGTTTTGGAACCATTTTAAAAAGAAAACTTTATAGAAACATATGTCCTAAGCGTCTTAACTTTTGAGATAGAAGGGATTATTAAAAATTATTATTATCATTATTATTATTAAAAATTAAAATATTGGCTCGCCCCGTACAAGCGAGTAATGTGCTGTATAAATTTTCTCGTATCGCGAGGCGGCAATCTTTCTGTATTACTCCATTCACCGTGGAACTGTATATCGCCGCCATTCACGCACGGCAAGGTCGCAGTCTCATTTTTAATAATAGACTTTTAATAATGGACACTTCTACCATGCAATCAAGAGAACATGGGCACGTATTGTGTTTCTTAAAGTGTAGAGCGGATAAAACCTCATTGTTTAGGTTAGAAGAGGAAGAAGCTGCATTTAACCTCCAAATGCTAGTGTTAGACATAGTCTCGTAATATCAAAACTTAATTTAGGTTCTATGCTGGGGGACCGAGGGTGGCTCGGTTGGTAAGGCGTGTTGACCTGCCAACTCGAACTTGCCGGAGGTTGTGGGTGTTGTGTTCGTGAAAAATTGTTATCGGTCAATTTTTCTCGGCGGATGCCGGAAAATGGGTGCATATCCGAATTAAGCGTAGAGAAAAAAAAAGTTCTATGCTGCTAACTTTTACGTTACTATACTATTAGATCTGGCCCTGAAAATTTATGTTTATGTAGTGGAAATCATATTCTGAACACACAAATAAAGAGGAAATGCGACAAGTAGTACAATTTAAGTATCCAACTTAATTAAAACAAAAGCTAAATAATTATTTTAACTTACAAATTTTTTTCAAGAAGTATTTTTTATCAGATTAGAGCTCATCTCGTAGGTCAGAAAGGAAATAGGATAAAAAAATTATGCATTCTTCTTCATCTGAAGAAATGCCATAGACAAATTTAACTTAAAAGTTTTCTAAATGAGAAAAAACAGGATAAGTGCGGTTTTTGAAGAAAGTAGCATAAAAAAATAAGATAACTACGTACTAATCTTAGTACTGTTTCAAAGTCAAAAATATAGCTGTTCAATGATCAGAGAAAGGATTTTGATGTAAGTTGATATTGGGGATTTCAGGAAATATGTGGATTGTTGGTCTAGTAATACATTAAAAATTAGTATAAATAATACACAATTAGGGAAAATCACGATCTCCAATAAAAAGAGTCTTAAAGCAACCCCACGCTTGCCACTCTTGTCCCTCCTTGCATTCAAAATACACAAAAGATTATAGTCTAGCTATATATATATATATATATATATATATATATATATATATATATATATATATATATATATATATATATATATATATATATATATATAGTAAATGGTGTGAAAACTTGGGTGTATGAACTTAGGTTTCCAAAGTTCTCCAAAAGGCTTATTATTAATCTCTGCAACTCTATGGACTTAATTAAAAAAAAAAACTCACTGCGAAGCACCGGCTTTGAGTCATCCTCTTTTTGTATCAGCTTCTCCTTTGGAGGTTGCTGATCATCAAGGCTACCTTCACTTTTGATATTGCTGATCTAAATAATTCAATTGACGATAGACCAAACCATTCTCGAAGATTGCGCAACCAAGAGATTCTTCGGCACCCTACACTTCGTCTACCTACAATTTTGCCCTCCATAATGAGTTTCAGCAGCTCATATCTTGTGATATATGTGTGAGTGATCTAAACTACTGTAATTTTGTCTATGGACCTTGCTTGTTTTTACAAAATATAAATTACAAAACCTGTATTCGATTTATCTATAGCCTTAAACCAAGAGATCACGATTTTAATTGGTGTGGTTGTTTTCTTTAAAAACCACTTAAAACTAGATGCCCGTCATATGTAGTGGAAAAAATAACTTGTAAAAATTGTGCTTATCAGTATGAAATACCTGAAATTAAGAAGACTTAGTCATGGTCTTCTTAATTCTTCACATCTGCTAGACTGCTTAGTAAATACCCGCAGACTAACCAATCAGATTAAAAAAATCATCCCTTAGGAAAAAATACTTACGTAATTAAACATTAACCTTTATTAGAATTAGGCTAACTATGCTGAAACAAGATGAGAGAGACTTAAGACTATGATAGATAGGTCTAGATCACCTTCTATATTTTTGACTACCACGGCTATCCATTTAGATCCTCTGATCCATTAAGATTTCTCATCTTCGTTCCATGTCTTACAAGAGCACGGTGATGGTACCTATATCATAGAGGGTTTGGATAGTTCCTAGGGACCAATCCCTAATACCTCTTAGTCCGTTAGTCTTGTCGATGCTTCTGATATCTGGACCATAACAGAATTACCATTTATAGGATAAGATAGGGTAGTAGCCTATTAGGGATCCTCACTTTAATCAATTTTTTGAAAAATCTTCTACAGGTCATTGTAATACTATTGCTGTTGCTGTTGAATCGAAATTGCTGACGTTTCGCCAATCATCTTGTTGGCTTTTTCAACGGCAGTTCTTAACCAAATAATTTTTATTCCCTTAGAGAAACGTGGGAGAAGAAAAACATTCAATTTCACGAAAACGGCACCGTATCTTTCAACCAAGAGAAGATCTACCATTTCGACGAGTCCCTCTCAGCAGGATCGGAGGATGATGTGGTCGTAGTTCCAAATATACCAATGTTGGTGAGTACCATCATGCGCAAATCATTATCTGTTACAAAAATTTTTCGTAACATATAAGCGTTTAAGTTTGTTTACAACGTGTGGAGTGACAAGCAACCATCTAGGTAGAAACGACAATGAAATTTTGCTAGTACGCAATTTTCAAACTGACTTTTCAGGGCCAGCAGGTCCAGAGAAGTGTTCATTAAGAGGACATATTTATTAATGCTTCACAGACAGCATGGAAAATCATAAAAAAACATTTCTCATACTTCACAATACCACAAAAAATAACCAGATTGTTTTATTGATGAGAACGGGACCGATTTTGTTGAGAATTTTAGTTTTTTTTGTAGAATCTGTTTACAAAATAATAAATAAAAATAATTCAGCAATAAAAACAAAAAAAAGGCATCCAAAAATAAAATAAGAAAATAATAACAAACTCACTTCTATTAAGCTTTTATGAAGAGCATTCGAGGTAATTTTGCTATGCTTTCGTATCAAGTTTGTTTCTGAGAGTCTGGTAGCACCCATGACGCATCTGGTTAACTTGCCTTTTAGAGCTACAGTCCCAATTGATGTCTAATTACCGTCTAATTGTGTCTATTGTCGGTTTTCTCTAAAATGCAAAGTACGACATTGTTAAAACAATTACAAACATAGATAATATGTTGCTCTTATTTTGACAACTTGCCATCTCCGTTTGTTTTTTCTGACATTTGCATGAGATAATAGAGTAAAAATCTTCAAATTTTTGTATTTACACTTTTTTTCCTAACTTTCAAAATTAACCCTGTAGGTGGGAGTCAAAATATATTGAATAGCCCTGTACGTTTTTAGAGTGCGACTTCCCAGTCGAAACACGCGGCCCGATTCTTAAGGCTAGCGATGGCTAGCATAATGGACATACTGAAAATCAAGCCGTTCGTGGAAGTCTCGGTTGGTCAGCTGTTGTGGGGCTACGAAGATCCTCTGTTGAAGCTAGCCAAAGACGTCGTTCCCAAGGAACAGAAACTGCCTTACGAAGAGTTCGGACTTATGTACAACGTAAGCCGTGCGGTGTGAGCATCGACGACTGAGTGCTCTACTAGTTTTGTTTTCCTCCAACAGAAAAACGGTACTTCCAAAGACACGTTGACGATTTTCACCGGATCTGGAGACATTACCAAGTACGGCCTCATCGACAAGTTCAACGGCATGCCGAAGCTAGCCCACTACACCGAAGATCGATGTAACGATATCATGGGCTCCGACGGCTCCATTTTCCCACCGCATTTGACTAAGAACAGCACCATATACGTTTTCGACAAGGACATGTGCCGGAAGTTGCCTCTGGTGTAAGTACTCGGAAATGATTTAAGTAGATGCATAAAGGGGGTTCAAACGAGCATAACTTCAAAACATAATCGCCCCCCGCAGAGGGCCCGACCCTTCTAGGGGGTGCTCCGCTTCCATAACATCACATAACCTCGATAATTCACCGTTGTTGAACGCCAACTTTAGGTTGAAGTTAAATATATCGCCAAAATTGATTTGGTTAGTCGAGGGAACACACAATGAGGGTGAAAACATGTATCACACCAAACAACGCAACACTAAAAGACCACAGGTAATTGTGGACTGTAACTGATGGAATGAAGTATTCCCAAACCTCTATCCTACTCTTGGATCTCAACTTTCTAGCGCGTATAACACACGCACAAGCTGTAGTGTAGGTGTCTCCGAACGAGAGACCCAAACGTGATGGATAGGATTTTTACTGCCACCAAAGGTCATCGTGCACTTTCCCGATGATGAGCCTATGCTACGTATCAAAATATATTCCCGGATGTCTCTGATGTAGATGTAAATGTTTGAGATATAACACTAATAGAGAACTTGACTTAAATTTTGCGTCCAACGTAAAATTCTTTATGTTCAGATTCGACAAAGAAGTAACCGGGAGCAACGACATTCCCGGATACAGATTCACCCCGCCTATAGACGTATTTGCGAGTGTCGACGAAAACCCGGAAAACTTGTGTTTCTGTCCCGCCGGACCTCCGTGTGCCCCATCCGGATTTTTTAACGTTTCCCTCTGCCAGTACGGTGAGTTCATCGATGATAGTTGATATTCCGGATTTAAATTTTGTTCGTGGGTTGCAGACTCTCCGATTTTGCTGTCCTTCCCTCACTTTTACCTCGCCAACGACAGCTACAGGACAGCGTTGGAGGGGATATCGCCTCCGGATCCGGAAAAGCACAAGTTTTTCATTGACGTGCAGCCTGTAAGTACTTCTCCGTATTTGAAAAAATGTTGTTCCTACCTCTCTTTCTGACTGAATGTCGATTTGTATCTCAGAAAGTATTGGTACCTAATAGATCTTCAGAAAGGGATCTGTTAAGAGAAAACGCTGAATATGAGTTTGAAGGTTAACCTCTAGATTGCTAATTGCACTGAGGTGGCTTTTACTTGATGAATATCCATTTATCAAAATAAATAAGAACTAAAAGTTCCGATTTTCACGAAATTATATATTATGACATGACAATTGTTTCGATAACACCGTGTCTTTATCAAATGTGATAAAGACATTTGAAAAAGACACGGTGTTGTCGAAACAATTGTCATGTCATAATATATAATTTCGTGAAAATCTTAACTTTTAGTTCCTATTTATTTTTCTAGATTACTACCCTCAAGTTGAAACTTAATAAAAAAAAACACATTTCATTGCAAAAATTATTTTGTTAGTGGACAATTGTAAGCTATCTGAATATTCTGCATAGATGTTGTTAAGCAAATCGGTCAAGTTCCGAATTGTAAAAAAAAATCTAAAAAAAAAGTAATGCAAAAATAAATGAATCAGTGAAAAATGCATCTCAATAACTTCATCCCCACCTAAAATGTGAATAAAATAAAAATTTAATATCTATCTTAAACAAAATATCTAGTCTTTAGTTACCAACTTTGGAAAAAAAAATAGAAGACTGTTCGTTTTACGTTTACAGTTTTAATGAAATAACATAACATTACAATCTAACAAGATAAATAATAAACGATTACTATTAAAAAAAAACACTACCTACTATTAATAAATTTTAACGAAATTGTCTCTTAGTAAATTAATAACAATCTTTTTGAAAAAAAAAGTAGTACAAAGAATCTAGATAAGTGTCCTCTCCACCTTGAAGGTTACACGCTTCAGCTTTTTTTTCTCATGTTGCCCCCGCACCGTTTGAAGGTTAGCTCCAGTGTTTCTTCTTTGGACTTGAAGTGTGATGTGATTTGCTGGAAAACATAGAATTTGTTGGGAAACAACTTTAATCTTATCTTCATCTATTTTTCTAGATGTTTCTAGGTGTTTAGCATTTAAGACACTGCTAAATATTTTAAAACTATTCCAAATAAAATTACACAAACAGAAACTTCTGAATTCCGTATATTTAGAATGAAACTTAAAACTGAAAGTTAAACTAAACAAAAAACTTAAAACGATATTTCTGGGTCGTCTTTGTTTAAATGATTGTTTTCGAAAACTTTACTACCCACATGCTGAGACTCATTTGTTTACTACTCTTCTCCACCATTTCTCTTCATTTTTCTTATTTTTTATACATAATTACGTTGATTTCTTGTCTTCTTGATTTCACGTTGCTTTCCAATTGTAAGGGTTCCGACTTAACTTAAGTACGAACTTATTCGTTTCCATTTCTTGGGAGCATAACTTCGCTGTTTCTACTATTAACTACATAAATAGTTTATTTTTACATTAATACGTTTACCTGTTCATCCCTGAACAAAAGTACAAATAATTATTTTTGTACTCCCGTCTGTAAAATACCTAATTTCACACCGATTTAGCGTGCGGGAAGCGTCACTGTACCACGGATCAGAGCCACTTCCGACATTCCCGGGATTTTACCTCGCAGGTTTGGGAGCAATCAGATGTTTTCTGAGATATTTCGAACGCTTTGAATTCTGACGGTCATGTCAGTAAATATATTCGTGTTGTTTTGCGAAAATGTACCCAAAAACTAACGGTCGTAGAAAGAGTATAGTTGCAACACGTTCTGTAAACTTTTTAAGTCACTCGTTTATTAAACACTCGCTCCGCTCGTGTCAAATAAACTCGTGAGTTAAATGCCGTTTGCCGCACTTGTATAATATACTATTGTGTGCCAAACAAAAAACGAACTCAGTTTTTCAAGGTAATTTTCGGACTATGTTGTTTTATTAGGATTTGTTATCAAATAGTCGATAAACTAGATTCTTAAAATTTTTCACTTATACCACTTTCAAAATCAAGGTCTCATCTATTGCCGGACATGTTGGAGCACCTCCACTACTTTTCTATTAGAGATAGTGAAAAAAGCATCTAATAAAAGAGATTCCAATTTGTGTCAGCTTCAAGGCAGTGTTCAAGTATCACTAATATAATTTTGCCGAATACATTTTTTAAAGTAATTTCCTTATAAGTTAACGATCCTATCTAAGACTAACTGTAATAATTAAGCATAATCTTTTAAGGGTAATCTTAAAGTTTTGAAAGAAAAAATATTTTGAGTTTGCAATAGTTTGCTTTGGAATTAGCGCTCAAGAAAGGAATATAAAACCGCACTATTGGGAAATTTGTTGAATAATTACAAAACACGTTAATTATTTGAAATAAATTATTGCGAAGCAATAATGGTTGCACTCGTTTCAGGTCATGGGCACCGCATTGTCCGCCAAAGCCAGAGTGCAGATAAATCTGGCCGTCTCGCAGGTGATAGACATCAAGCAAGTCGCCACATTCCCCGATATCATCTTCCCCGTGATGTGGTTCGAAGAGGTAATTTTAAATTTATCATAGAAAAATACCCGTGCAAACTAAATTTACGTTGTTGTTTGTTTTTTAAGTTTTCAATTACATTTGCATACTCAATTTAAATCGATTAATGAAAATAAACTGGCGGATTTTTTGATCAATATGGGCGTAATAGAGCGGTAACATTGAGATTTTGGATAAACTAAAGGAGCACTAAAACTGAAAAACTAATTCGAATAGCTGTCTTTGACCGGGTGCAAATTATCTCGACACTCCTGCCGCATTTTTACTATGTGAATAATTATGAATATTAATGTTATTTTAAGTAAAGGTAGAACTATTTTTTTTTGAATAAATATAAACACTTTTACAATGGCACAATATTACTCGAGATTATGAAAAATATTATAATACGATCACCATAAAAGTTTCTTACTCATATTGATATTTATTTTCGAATTTAGTGTGCTTCTAATCTATTTAAACTTTTTGTATTTTGAAGTCCGTGCAATAATAATTCGTTTTTATAAATAGCCTTTTGCTTCACTATGGAGTTAGATAAAAAGGTTTTTGTATTTATTAAAGAGTGATCGGACAATTTTCAGGTGTGGGACTTTTAGAAATACTGATGAAATAATGATCATACTAGGTTAGCGCTAAAATTTCTCGGCCTGACATGCAGCTCCAGTATCACGATAAAACTTTTTCTTCTTTTGAATACATATGTAGTAGGCTGCGAAAAAAATTGAAGTCTTGCGTCAAATAGTTTTTTATTGACAGCATTTTAAACAAGACGTGTCCAAAAAAATGTCGCAAATATCGCAAATTGAGTATAGAGCAGTCATAGAGTTTTTGACAAAAGAAGGGTTAGCACCTAAAATTATTAAGGAAAGGCTGGATGGTGTGTACGGCTAAAGTTCTCCTTCGTATTCTATAGTGAAGGAATGGGCAAAACGTTTTCGAATGGGGCAGGAGTCCCTTGAAGATGATTCAAGGACTGGTCTACCAGTGGAGGTCATAACGGAAAATATCGTTTCGACTGTGAGTGACCGACGTTTAAAGGTCAAGGAAATCTCCGAAATTACTAAGCTCTCTGATACAAGTGTTGGTCGAATCCTGCATGATCATTTAGATATGCATAAGGTTAGTGCAAGATGGGTTCCTAAAAACCTTTCGGCTATTCAAAAACAACGCCGTCGAGTGTGCGCGATCTTTTTTGGAACTCTGTGGGTCGGAACCGAAGCCTGTGATAGAAACTATTGTGAGGGGAGATGAAACTATGGTTCTCTATTATGACCCTCTATCGAAAAAAGAATCAATGGAGTGGCGTCGTAACGGTGAAACACCTCCAGTCAACATTGATTGTGAAGGAATTCTCTTGATAGATTTTAAAGATCCAAGAACCACCACATTCAATGGTAAATATTACGCAACATTATTACGTAAATTGCGAGACTGCATACGTGTAAAACGTCGAGGAAAACTGACCAGAGGCGTGCGTCTTTTCCACGATAATGCACCTGTCCGTACTGTTGGTGTTGCGCAAGCTGCCATTTTAGATTGTGGGTTCCAACGGATAGATCATCCTCCCTATAGTCCAGATATAGTCCCCAGCGACTATTATTTGTTTTGATATTTGACAAACCAAAAGAATATTTTTTAAAGGGATTGAATTGTTAATAAAGAGATGTAATAAGAGTATTGAAGTTAATTAAATTAAATGTCACTTTACTTTGTTTCTTTCATATTTAGGCTGGGAAATTTTTTGCGCTGCAATCGTAAGTATATTAATGGGGTTGAGAACATTTGAAGAAAGTTAATTTTTCTCATGAGCATTAAGTATCTGGTATGAAGCAAGCATCTACTCCTCTCATTTACTGAAATGATCTGTTAGCCAATATTACAGAGTGCAATTTTTTTTGGATTATAGTATTAATAACAGTAGTAGACAGTAGGCGGTCCAAAACTCTTTGAAGGATTATCTTTTAATGCAAGGGTGGTAATGACCAGAGCACCTGCTTTGTTTTATGCGCTTAAATATGGCACAAATTTAGGGAACCACTAACCAATATCCATTTTACAAAGAAATTATAACAATTTAATTTATTTTTGTCCCATCTTTCTTGTTTTTTTTTTTTTGTTGGATATGGAAATATTTTTACTCACTGTTTACAATTAGGCAGAACGTAATTGTTCTGTACTTTTATAAATTGTCACGTCATTTTAGCTTGTTAAAGAGTAAACTCCGGTCCGAGCAGTTCGGTCACGTATAGTGCAAAATTAATTTTCCAATAAAATAATCCACAACTTTTTACGGGATTTCCTTTATTATTGCAGATCAAAAATATTTAAATAATTTCCATATAATTTTTTCGTGAATCCTGTGTGATAAAAGCTTAAATACATTTAATACTTTGTTTATAATTATTTTAACAAAATAAAAAAGTTTACCGTAACGTTGTAATTTTTTTTTCTCGTTTGTTAACTTACCGTTTTTATATTAACAAAAATCATTTATTGGTTTCTATATTTTTTTTACGATTACTACATGAAGAACTGTTATTTGTAATATTAAAAAACGAATTTTTTTCTTAATAATTTTTATTCAACTTTTTTTTCATGTAGGTATTGCTTAAATAATTAAGAAAATTAAGAAATTTTTTTTAATCATAATTGAGAGTTCTATACAAATTAACAAACAAAAAATTGTTAAATATATTAACAATTTGTTTATGACAAAATGTTAACTTTTCTATATTTTTCTTTCTGAAAAATAGTTATTACGATTTTTTTATTATAGTTTGAAAATATACGTAATGCAAAAGTTGCAGTAACCGTTTACTTAACAACTAATGCAACTTTTAAACTGTCAGCAAATAATAAACCCAATAAAATTATGAAAAAAATTTAAGATGAAAGGAATACATACATTTTTTGAAAATGCAATGAAAAAAAGTTCGGTAATTGATGCACCGGGTTATTTTTGTAATTTTCAAAACATCCAGAAAAAAATAAAGAAAAGTTAACAATTTGTGGAAAAAAGTGGACAAAATTCTTTATTTCTTAATCAGGAGAGAATTGTCAATTATGATTAAAAAAAATTCTTTACCAATTATTTGAACAATAGCTACATGAAAAAAACGTTAATAACAATTGAAAAACATTATTTAGGAAAATGACAGTTCTTCATGAACTTGTATTTTTTTAAAATTTTGAAATAATCAAATTGTTTATAAAAAAATATAAACAAATGGAGCAAAAAAATTTTTTTTAGTTAATAGATGTTTCTTTTTTAACATGAAAACGTTAAGTTAATAAAAAATTAAAAAATAATTAAATATTTTTTTAATTTGCAATAATTAGTACAGGAAATAGTTGCTAGTTAACAATGCTCTAGTTTATTGGAAAATTAACTCTAATGAAAAATTTCAACGGGAATAAGTTTTTTATATACCATTTTTCAACGTTAAATTAAAATCATTAATAATGGAGGTACAGTTTCTGGAATCGGAACTTTTTTAGCAAATTTCTTTCTATTGAAGGGTCTTTTCATAATTCCAAAAAATTATTAGTTTATGAAATGTAAGCAAAAAAAAAAAATAATAACTACTCTTTACCATCTTACATCTTGTGTTGAATTAAAATCCAATTCTTTTTCAAGAGACCTTGTATGTCCGACATACTTCTTTTATAATGCGACCAAAAATATAGTGCATTTATTGATTTCACGTTTTAAGTATCCCAGGTATATCCCAACTGATGCTAATTCTGCATTAAATAAGTCTTGCCTAAGATGGACCACCGTAACGATTATTTGCAGAAACTTTTTTTTTAATTTGATTAAGCATTAATGCTGCGAAAAACCTCAAAGATTGTAGTGGAAATGTTTGAGGACTGGTTTGAATATAAACTGTTGCTAAAACTATCGCCAAATACTGTATTGTGTTTCATACTTCCAAAATTTAGTGATTACAAAACTGTTACATTAATTAAGGGAGAAGAGAGAGAAAGGCGGCAGTATTACAGCCAGAAACCAGAGCAATATATAACAATAACAATAAATAGAATGTCAATATTGAAGGTCTTAGTTGATCTGATACCCATTATAGATATTGATATACGCCTTTGAAGCCAAAGATCTTAAAAATACTCTCTGAACAACTTCGATGTTATCTATATGGCGGGCATAATATGGAGACCATACTACAGATGCATACTCCAATTTAGACCGAACCAAAGGGATATAAAGGAGTAAGTTGGCCACTATTGACTCGCATAGACTTGTTTACCACATCCCCAAAATATATCACAAAATTCAGTTTAGAATCGAAGAAAGTCTTTAATGTTAGTGACGGCAACGATCTCGACTCCATCAATGCTATGTCGATTGTGAACCGTACTGAACGAACGACTAAAGCTAATTCTACAGCATTTTTTTACATTGAACGCAAGATTATTAATCTTGGACCACATGCAAACACTGTCAACGTCCCTCCTAGCATCCAACTCTCCTGAATATCTTCAAATCATTCGCAAACAGAAAACACTGCTACCCCGAAATTACGCTAACAATATCATTTATAAACAGGTTAGAAAGGATGGGTCCAGTGTAAGAACCTGAGACATAATTATTAACACTAACCACCGAACCAAACTCTTCAAAGGCGTTCAATAAAAATTGTTGGTAGATGAGTAAATCCATGGTGTTGATCAGCCAGAATTCCACTGCAGTGCCGCGAGAGTCTCTCACGAAATAACTTATCTAGCAGTTTTGGAACCACCGACCATATGCAAACGCCGCTATAATTAGCTACGTCGCTCTTGTCACCACTGTTGTGAATCGGTTCCAAATAGTTAACCTTCCAAAAATGATAGTATGTAGAAATGTAATGAGATAGAACGTAGTCAATCGTTACCTCGTATTAACATGTTTCAAGAATTGCTCGTTGAAACAAACTTTAATCACGGGGCACTATATTTCTGGTCGAAGTATACAACATTATTCGCGTTTTAGGGATTGGACGGATTGCCGGAAGAAATGACCGGCCTGATGAGATTGGCGACGTCGGTGCCGCCGGTGGCGCACGCGGCCCTCTCCGGCGTCCTGTTCGCATTGGGGGCCCTGATGTTACTCGTGGCTATTTGGAGACTGGTTAGGGGCGCGAATCGGCTTAGCTCGCTGCAACTGGCCCCCGGACACATGGGACAACACGGCAACAAAGGCAAAGACGTTCCCATGGCCAACGTGCCGAAATATTAACGGTGACGTTATATTTATTAGGGACTAGTAATAAAATTCAATAAACCGGAAGTGACGTAATATTTGACGTATAATAAAATGAAAAACCGTTCCTGTGATAAGCGCACGTGGGAGAAGAAATTTGTATTTCACGCGTCGTAGACTATTCCGCTAGGGGGCGCAAATGTAGTAAGTTTTATTCGCCGACTAGCACAGTTAAGAGATGTAAGTCTTCCGATTAGATTTTTGCCATTGTTACGCGGAATTTAGAATATGAAAATTTAATATTTGGAACTCAGTCATTCATAGGAATAGTTTGATCTAAAATTTTTGTTATACAGGGAGTTTTAAAAAAAATTTTTAGTGGAAATATAACATAACAGTAACGTTATTTTTTGTTAATAAACATGCTTGAAAACAGACCTCGGAATGAAATTTTTACCACAGATACATTGAGAAAATAAAAACGTGCTCATAAAGAAACGTAGTGTACAAAATAATAATATTCTGCCATCAGTTACTCATTCAAAAGTATTTGTGTTTTAAATTTTATTTAGGTACCTCAAACTACACACATTTGTTAACTAAACTAACGTTATTTTTTAATATTCTACTACACTCTGTACATTCCCTTTACATTTGGTTCCCAAACATTCTCCATGGGATTTCATCCCTTTCAGCATTTGCGGTTATCATTATAATCTAACCCCTACATAGTTGCGGCATGGATTTTTAAATTTTCTAACGGGATAGAGCGTAAAACGTGCTTTTAGGTTAGCAAAATTGGTTTTTGTTTTATATAGTTGGCCATGATCGCAACGAAGGTTCTCGATTATTAGTATAAACATAGTCGGTTTTGAAAAGATAAATGTCATTTTTGACCGAGTTATCGACAAATGCTTTTATTGACAATTGAGCTTCAGCCACAACACAGACTTTCATTAGATGCGTGCAATAATTGTTGCCAATATATTGGAATATTCCTTATTTCAAAAACCGAAAGAATTAACGAAGAAGAAAGAAATAAACCATGCAAAATTTGAAAAATGAAAATAGTTTTCTGCAATTAACGTTGAGGAAGTAAAGACATTTTTGTTTTTGAATTTTTTTTACCTTATTCAATTTTGAGTAAACAATAAATTTGCATTTTGGGTTTTGTTCTTGGTAAACTTCTGGCCCACACTTTACTTGACGCACTTCAATGTATATGTTTTGGCTTAAGTTAGATTAGTTAGTAAAATTTGGGTGTAACGAAAACAACAAGGTAAATAAATTTTGAAATAAATTAGAGCAAAAACATTAAAATCGAGTCGAAATACAAGCAAGACTAGCTGCCTATTTCCAATACATTCTCATTCGTTGGTTATATATAGAGCTTTATAGAGATGAGAACTTGGAGGAAATTTTAAATTTGATAAGGTTTCCATGTAAGTTATCATTGAACACTGAACAATTTACACAAAGTGTAAATCGGCTATTGGAGGCAGCTTTGATAAGTAGATATAAAGCTGTTTGTTGACAAACCTTCCATAAAGGGAAACATAAAGCAACATGCAACTTATCAACTGCATATTAGTGGAAAATATTTGACAGACGCTCCTGATGAAGCATCTTTTGTTACTCCATCTTCAACACTTGAGGATGATGACATCAAGGCAACAGAGGACGTTGAATCGCAATTCATTTTTTTTAATTTATTTTTTTGTTTATTTGGCAATACAAGTATTCTCATAACAAGAAACCCTACTTAATGCTATTGAAAGAAAATTAGATAAAATAGACAAAATACGATAAAACAATAACAAGAATAAAAACAGTTTTAACCTGATTTGTGAGACATTTCCATGAAAACCGTTTTCCGCTTGATGTTTTATATCTATTGTCGCCTTAAGTACTATCATATTAAAGTGGATTGAACACGGTATACCGTTATACCCTGGTAAAGCTTAAAATAGATCTGATTGTACACACATATTGCATATTTGGTTGTCTCGCAGTTCACTCGTGTAACTTAACCTAACAATCTAACTTAACCTATAACGTGCGTTATGATTTTTTGCTCAGCCGTAGTCTAAATGAATTGGTAGGTGCTAGTGGAGGACAGTGGTACAAAAGTAGACGTAAAAAGCTTACGAAATTGTGTGTACTTAATTTTGAATGGGGCTGACGCCTCTTATTGTCGTTATTTGTACGGGGACGTGGAAACATATTCGATACATATTTGCAATACTAGCCTTATGTTGTTATTATTTTTATTATTGTGTATATTGTTTAGATACGTTTGTGTAAGATGTTTTTATGTATTTAGTTATTATTGTTTAATTGTATAAAAATTGACAATGAATAAAGTTTTTATATTTTCGTGTGCAGTTTCTTTTCAAGGGTGTAAAGTAACAAGGCAATTATTTTATTGCGCATATTGAAATTGGAGATATTTATTTTCATTAAAAAAAATCTTGTCCAATACCCGCTATGACCACAAAATACGGCTTCATTATGAGGTTCATAAAAATAGATAAAAAAGATATTGATGTCTATAAGTTTTCAAAAATAATATGTTACAAAAATGGAATTACAAAAAGATACTATCATTTTGGGAAATATACAGTTACTTAAAGAAATACAAATATAAAGGCCGCTTTTTCGTTCCCACTTTTTGAGTTTTCCAAAATAACGTTGAGAAATTTTAAGTACGAGGTGGGTATTTTACGGTTTCATGTAACCACAATAAGCTTCAGTTTTTTGCTCCAATACCCGCGCATAAACCGTTTTAAATAATACAAGATTAAACATTATAACAAAACAACGAACTTAAAACTATCGATAGAACGTCTATTAAATACTTAACTACTCAAATATTTTCCAAATTCGTATGCGAATAGAACGTGAAAAGACCTTTAAAAAAAGGATCACATGACCCCTCTTATCACTAAAAAATAAAAATAAAACTGTCTTTATTAAAAATCAAAATATTACAATATAAGTAACAATACAAAAGTGGCGACATTCGCAATTTGCTCTCTTCCATGTAACCACAAGAACATAAACTCATACGCTTTTGCTAGTTACGGGCAGGTCTAATAAACAATATTAACGTTTTTTTGAAGGACTTTATTGTGGGAAGGAATGTTATTATTATTCATTATTACATTATCATATATATCATTATTATATTATATATTATTGCTAAAAGATCTCTGGAAAGTCACCGAAGTGTGTCTAGAAAAGCAATATCTTAGACAATGACGGGTGTCTTGATTATGAATATCATTTCCTCGGCAAAGTTTATCAAACAAGTATGACGGGGTCCCATTGGAGTTTAGTAAAAAAACAAAAGTGGCTAACTGAACTTTATATCGGTTCTCCATTTTGAGCCAACCCGAATCACAGATGCACTGTGAAATATGGTCTTTAGCGTAATCTTGAAAGAGGCGTTTTTTATAATATCTTCCCTTTAATTTCCAAATAATAACATCTGCGTTTGGTTAGAATTCAATAAGAGGTTATGGGCCGCAGACATATTCGAAATTATCCTTAGATCCAAATTTATTTTAGTACCAGTATTTAAAACTTCAGTAGCAACAAAAGGTAAATGTAACTGAGTATCATCGGCGTATTGATGAGATTTACAAAATTTCAGAAAAGTAGAGAAGTCAGCTGTATAAACTGAGAACAGAATAGGTCCCAGAATACTCCCCTGTTGCACACTCCTCTCCAAAACATTGGCATCTGAATGAGTATACCCTACAACTACCTTTTGGTATCTCTGATCAAGAAAATTGTAGAAAAATGAAAGAATTCCAGTTTAGCTAGGAGAAGGAAATCGAACCCTTTGCTATAGTCCAAGAGGTTAATTTAGAATTCGCTGCTCTCAATAAATCATCAGTAACATGAAGCAAGGCAGAAGTAGTGCCGTGAAGACGTCGAAAACCAGATTGAATGCCTGGGAGGATTTTGTTGTCGTATAGGAACTGACGAAGTTGTTTAGCTGCATTTTTTTCAATAATCTTTGAGATGGTTGAACACTTTCTTTGGAAAAACTCCGGTCAGCAGACACTTGTTAACAAGGAAGGTGATATGATCGACTAAATACGGAGTAGTCAGAATCATGAGCGTTAGTTTTAACACTCATCAAAGTTTTATTAACATCCTGAGGGTAAACTTTAGCAAATTGTTTATTAATATAATTTGCCGACACAAACATCGGATCAATACCACCAACAGCTCCAAAAGAATTAAAAGCAACATTAAAACTATTAGGTTGTTTTCAAACATTAACGTAGGATTACCGTGCACTTGAAGTCTCCTCAAAGTACGCCAAAAAATTTTAAGATCAGCCTTAAATGTACCATATATCTGACTTAGACGCTTTTATCTTAAATATCACCTATTTTTAAGTTTTATTAAAAGTTTAAGGTTTAGGAGATTGTACGAATATTTTTTTATTTTATAAGAAATCAGTGGCGTACCATACACAGTTGACGAGCAGTTTGTTAGAGCAACTAACGCGAGTGTCACAACCATCACTGTCACTTTTCGATCTGATGTGCAACGATATGGAGCGCGTTATTGAGTCTGCAGTTTAAGATTTCGATATCACTTAAAAAAAAGTTAGATTATTTAAAATTTTGAATATCGCCTAAATTTCACAAAGTGTTTGTTTGCATATTATTATTGTTTCAGTTTTAAAAGGGCGTTTGCAAATTTTTCAAGGTCCGTGAGAAACCATTCCACGTCAATTATAGCGGTGTAATTGCTTATATGAAAATCGCCATTCAATTTCAACATGACTTAGACAAATAAAACACATAATTTTTCCGGGGTAAGGGCGTCCGTACACCGCAATTCGCAATCTTCTTGCAAGCATTTTGTTAATCTCCATGGCTTCCAATAAATTTAATTTTAAACTTTGTGTGGCTGTATGTAAAATGTTTAAGTGTGTAACAGAATTAGAATCTAGACTTTTATTTTTAAACGCTCTTTTATGTTCGTTAATGCGTTTCGTGAAGGATCTACCTGTTTTTTCAATATATATTTTAGGACAAGATTCGCATTTCAACCTGTGGACACCGATATTTTTAAACCACATTTTGACAAATGTTTTGAAACTTTTTGACTGAGTTCTCCTATGTATGTAATTGTTTTAAATTGTTCTGTATTAGTTTTCTGATAAAGTTTACTGTTATCTCGATTTGTTTTTTATTTATAATTTTGCCGATAATGGACGGACGTGTAAATATTATGTTATTTTCAGAAGCTTTGTTTTTAATAGATTTTACTAGTGACATTTGAGAAATTTCTTGGAAGGATTGATTTTGGGAAACCCACTTAGTCCTTTGTTAGCTGAGATTTTTATGGATAATTTGGAAAATATTATACTAGACCTTACTAGAAAGTTTTCTAAATTACTAAATTTCGTGGAAATCTTAACTTTTAGTTCTTATTTATTTTGTTAAATGAATTTTCATCAAGTAAAAGCCACCTTAGTTCAATTATTCAAAAAAACTTATTACGATGCAGATTGATACAGACTGTAGAATTTATTTAATTATATCCAAACAATGGAAAAAGAACAAGAATTTAGTGTAAACGCACTTAGTTACAAAACTAAAATGCTATGTGATAATTTCTGTAGATGTTTGTTTGGGAAATTTTAAGACATTTAGTTATCAATTGTTTTTATAACTGGACCGAATAGTTCCTAAATTTATGAATTGTTATTCTCCGAATGTTTCAGTCGTATTGTTGAACTGTTGAATTATAAGATTTTCAAATTTTAGGTTTTATGTTTTTGCAATTTGCTGTGTAAATACCGATGTGCGTATCTATAAATAAAAAACCTTTATTTCGAGTTTTTGTTTGTTCCATTTTTGTTTATTCAGTTTTGCGCTTGCATTTTTTTCCTTACTTACTAAGAATTCTTAAGACCTTGGTGTCATTTCCTATGTTTTGTGGTCCGTAATAAATAGTAGACCAAACTGAAAAGCAACTCAAGAAAGGGGAAACATGGAGACCAAAGCGCATGGTAAAATTCTGTGCTCGCGGAGTGTATGGAAAGCTTTAAAAGTCTACCGTTGGTACGATACCTTTTTAATTCAAATTTTATACAATTAAGGTCGATTAACCCATTATGAAATTGCCGCGTGCAACCATAATATAATATCGTGGGTGAACGTAGTATTAATAGCGTCAAGTGCATTACTTTTAGTCCGATATTAAGAGCCTTAGTGGTTCTAGAAAAGAAAGAAGATATTTAATTTTAAAATTTCCATCAAAATTAGTTCTGAATAAAACGACAGACTACTAGATCGCGTAATTTATAGAATTATTTATTTTGCCAGCTCGACGGCCATTTACAAGAATATTTTTTAAAAAATGCTAGGCGAAAAAGGATAGTAAACGTTAGCTGATGTATTTTCAGTTTTTTAAAATTTAAATGCGTAGAAACAGTACTTGCAATTGTAAGATAACAAAGATAAAAATATAAGTATTATATAAATTTTACCTTCAACCTGAAAACCTGCTGTTAATCCAAGAAAGTGAATTTTTAAGTAGTTACCTGCAGTTTTAATGTAGATTTCAGTCCGTTAAGTTATGAAAATGCCTGTTATGACTATAATCTATCGTAAATCAAGGGCGAAAACCAATTTTTTGTCCCAAAAAAGGGGTTTGAAGTACATATCTGCTTTTGTAAGGTAGATTTGGATACAATACGATGCGAAAAAGCAGATTCTGAGTAAGATCTTATCGAAATCGGCAACTATTTGACTCAGAAAGGGTTTTACATCGATATCTAATGGTTTATAAAGGTTTGCTTTACTCTAATGCCCGAAGACGCCAACTTTGACTAGGATTTCAAATATATTGACAACAAAAAATAATTGTTTTTTATGAAAAAATGATAGTTTGAGCTGATATCTACAGTTTTGATGCGGTTTTAGGTTAGATAGGTGTCGGAGGAGCCGATTTTGACTGGAATCTGTTTGAAAAATCTAAGAAAAACCTTTTACCAATCCAAGAAAGTGGGTTTTCATGATGTTATCTGCAGTTTTAAAGTGGATTTCAGTCCGATAAATTTTCTGGGACAAGAAATGGGTTTTCGTTGCTGTAAATCAAGCGCGAAAACCAATTATTTGTCCCAGAAAGAGGGGTTTTGGGTACATATCTGCATTTCTAAGGTGGATTTTGGTGCAATAAGAGGGGGAAAACCAGATTTTGACCGGGATGTTCTCGAAACCCGAGTCTATTTGGCCGAGATAAATGATTTTACGTCGAAATCTACTCGTTTATTAACGTTTTCGTAACAATAAAGGCCGAAGAAGTAAATTTTGACTACAATTTGAAAGATATGGACATCAGAA